TTCATCTTCCTGGAGCTGATTGTTGGCTGAGTCCGCGCCATTTTGGCTATTCTTCTATCCATTCGAATGGTAGTTTTTCGCTTTCTTCCACATCTTTCAGGTTTTGGTTGCCATTTTAAAGCATTTACGATCATTTTAGCTGAGCAGCCGATCATTTTCTGCACTTCTTTATATGTTTTCCCCTCTCCAATCAACTTTTTAATCAAGGTACGCCGTTCTTCTGAGCAATGTCTGGAATGACCCATTTTCCTCAGAATTCAGAGAGAAATGCACTGTAACCAGCATGTCCAACATTTGCTGCCTTCCTTCCTTAAATAAGGGCAATAATTGCCACCTGTTTTTCAAAGAATGAATGACCTCACTAATAGAACTCCACACTCCCAATTTTTTGAACACGCCCCTTTCAATGAGTGATTCAATGACACAGAATCAGCAGCATGCATGTCATGACTGTTGGGTCTGTTGGATTTCTATTACTCTACTACACCTGCTAGGGAATTATTATGTAGAAATATCATTTCCACCAAAAACAGTGATTGATCCGGTTAGTGATGTCTGACTGCTATTATTTTGAACACAACTCTATATATATATATATATATATATATATATATATATGTGTGTATATATATATATGTACCTGAAATAAATAAATGACAAATTTTATAATTTATGTTCATTTTATACAATATTACATTATTGTATATTTTATTATATATATTGATTACTTTTGTTATTAATATTTCACTATTATATCAACTATAAAAACTATAAAGTGTATGAATCCTGAATTGATATTGATTACGATCCAGCATGAAGGTTATCAATAAAATAATATTTTGGAGATGACATTCTTGATGACCAATTGTAGATTTTTTTTTATACATTATTATACTATTACATACTGTATTTTATTATATACAATATATATTATAATATGCTCTATTACTGTTATGAATAATATTTCATTATTATCACCAAAAATGCTAATAGTATCATTCTTATCTATTGTTATTGGTCTTATTATGAGTATGGTTGATGTAAATTTTTATTTTCCTTTTTAAAGGGATGTTATTAATGTAAAAAAAATGAATCCTATGTTTTTTTCGACCTAGAATTGATTCTACTGAACCAGCCCTTTTTTAGGATTATTTTGCTTTTTTTTTTTTTTTTTTTTTTTTTTTTTATGTTAAAAAAAAAAAAAAAAAAAAAAAGAACAATCTGCCACAAAGGTCATCATTTCCTATATTCCTTTTATAAGGTGACAATGCTCTGTCCCTATCTTCCAATCGTGCTCCTGCATTGTCACCCTATCCCACAGCCTTCTGATGGATGTCTTTTCAGCAAAACCTTAATTCTTTCAAAGAATTGCCATGCAGCCATCGCTGGAGTGCCTATGCACTAAGTGACTGCAAAGAGGCTTCAGTAGATCAGCAGCACCTACCTAAAAAAATTGTGTTTAAATATTTAAAATTGGTAATTGTCTACGATACACAGTGCTTTAGCAAATTAATTGTCATTCAGTTTGGGTTTATTAAAAAAACTAAATAAAAAAGGTTGCATCAAATAAGAACACAAAGCAGTTTCCATAGCACAGGCTTTGTTTGTGTATCTATGAAAAACAGACTCTGTGCTGAGCAGCTATTACACATTCCTTATTCACAGTGATGGAATTATATAGTTATTATATAACAAGCCCCAACCCCCACCCCCATCCCCCGCCACCCCTTCCTCTCCCCCAGCTGCTAAGTCTCTTCTCCCTCTCTTTTTTTTTTTTTTTTTTTTTTTTTATTTTGTAACTCTCCATTCAGTCTTCATCTCCTATTTCCTTTCTGGCAGTGGCTCCAACCCACATGCTATCAGCACATTTATATGACAAAAACAGTTTGTTTAACATGCAATGGAAACTTTTAGCGAAAAAAAAAAATTTAAAGCAGAAGTCCGACCAAAACAAACGTTCTGGAACGAGTGGGGAATGTTAGAACCTCTGTCAGATTTGGGTCATAAGTGTTTTATTATATGACAACTATTCATTTTATAATTTACATCCACTAGGATCCGTGTTTCATAGGGTTTGTCAAAATATTAATAATTTTGGCATTGCATTTCTTGATGACCAATTTTATTTTATTTAATTTATATTTATTTATTTTTTTTTTATGTTTGTTTTATACAATAATATACTATTTTACGTTTTATTATATGCATTATGTATATTTGTAATTACAATGTATAAATGTAATCGTATAAACCATAAATTTATATTGATTATAATCCGTATTTCATACAGGTTATCAATATGTACATAATTTGAGGATTGCATTCTTGATGACCAATTTTATTTTATTTCTATTTATTTTATTTGTTTTATTTTTTTATGTTCATTTTATACATTATTATACTATTTTACATTTTATTTTATACATTATGTATATTTGTAATTCAATTTGTAATTAAAATGTATAAATGTAATGAATTGTATAAACCTTAAATTTATATTGATTTATAATCAGTATTTCATACAGGTTATCAATATGTTAATAATTTGTGGATTGCATTCTTGATGACCAATTTTATTTTATTTTTTATTTTATTGACGTTAATAATTTGTGGATTGCATTCTTGATTGCCAATTTTATTTTATTTATTTTTATTTTATTTTATTGACGTTAATAATTTGGAGATTGCATTCTTGATGGCCAATTTTATTTTATTTATATTTGTTTTTATTTTATTTTATTGACAATAATTTGGAGATTGCATTCTTGATGACCAATTTTATTTTATTTTTATTTTATTTTATTGACGTTAATAATTTGGGGATTTCATTCTTGATGGCCAATTTAATTTATTTTTTTTTAATGTTCATTTTATACATTAATATACTGTTAGATGTATTATTATATAATATTTGTAAAAAAAAAAAAAGCCCAATACACATTGGAGCAAAGGCTCACTGCAAGACTGGGATTATCACGTACATATAAACACAGACATACACACCTGGACCTGGCATTGGCGCCATCTGGATTGTGACTTGGAACAGATTGCTGAGCGGTCTTCAGGCTGTGACCTGACCCCGGCTTGTATTCTGACTCTGCCTCTACCTGATGTTTCTGTATCTCCCTGCCTGGCTGTGACCTGACCCCGGCTTGTACCCTGACTCTGCCTCTACATGATGTTCCTGTATCTCCCTGCCTGGCTGTGACCTGACCCCGGCTTGTACCCTTACTCTGCCTCTACATGATGTTCCTGTATCTCCCTGCCTGCTGTGACCTGACCCTGGCTTGTATCCTGACTCTGCCTCTACCTGATGTTCCTGTATCTCCCTGCCTGCTGTGACCTGACCCTGGCTTGTATCCTGACTCTGCCTCTACCTGATGTTCCTGTATCTCCCTGCCTGGCTGTGAACTGACCCCGGCTTGTATCCTGACTCTGCCTCTACCTGATGTTCCTGTATCTCCCTGCCTGGCTGTGACCTGACCCTGGCTTGTATCCTGACTCTGCCTCAGCCTGATGTTCCTGTATCTCCCTGCCTGGCTGTGAACTTACCCCGGCTTGTATCCTGACTCTGCCTCTACCTGATGTTCCTGTATCTCCCTGCCTGGCTGTGACCTGACCCCAGCTTGTATCCTGACTCTGCCTCTCCCTGATGTTCATGTATCTCCCTGCCTGGCTGTGAACTGACCCCGGCTTGTATCCTGACTCTGCCTCTACCTGATGTTCCTGTATCTCCCTGCCTGGCTGCGACCTGACCCCGGATTGTACCCTGACTCTGCCTCTACCTCTACCTGATGTTCCTGTATCTCCCTGCCTGGCTATGAACTGACCCCGGCTTGTATCCTGACTCTGCCTCTACCTGATGTTCCTGTATCTCCCTGCCTGGCTGTGACCTGACCCCGGCTTGTATCCTGACTCTGCCTTTCCCTGATGTTCATGTATCTCCCTGCCTGGCTGTGAACTGACCCCGGCTTGTATCCTGACTCTGCCTCTGCCTGAGGTTCCTCTACCTTGCTGTTGATGTCCTTCTGTCTACTGATCAGATGTCACCATATTCCAGTCTCTGGTCCTTGTCCGGTGATCAATGGTCATCTGTATCCTAACGTTGGTCATTTGGAGATTATATTCTTGATGACCGACTTTTTATATATATATATATATATGTATATTTTCATTTTATACATTAAAGGCTAAGTTCACCTTTTTGTAAAAAAAAAAAAAAAAAAAAAAACTGAACTACGAAAGCGCTCACCCAGCACCCTCATTCATTGAGAGCTACAAGCCGCCCGCCGCAGTGGCTGACAGTACTTGTAGTTCTCTCATTCACAGATTGCTGTGAATCAGTGGCGGAACTACCAGGATCGCAAAGGTCGCACTTGCAAACAGGCCATCATGGGTGGGCCCCAAGATGGCAGAAAGTGGGGGGGGGGGCCCTGCTGAACATGTGAATGGCTCCTGCTGCAGTAAGGCTCACACTGCTGCAACCTCAAAGTCGTGCGACACATTTGCGACTTTTGTGATTTAACATTGCAGTCTATGGCACTCAAACCGCACCGAAGTCACAGGAAAGTAGTGCAGGGACATTTTTTTTTTTGTTTTGACTCGAGTCGCATTGATTGAGATGGCTCTGGGGCTCTGAAGGTTCTAGTTACACCTCTGCGGTGAATGAATGTTTTCAAATTGTGACAGCGGGAGTGGGGAGAAGAGTCCCACATGGAAGAAAAATATATTTGAAATACTACAATTTTGCCCATATTCTCTCTCATTTTTTTCATGTATTTTGCAATAAAAGCGGTGTGTGTGTTTTAGTTATAAAATTTTGTAAATAAGTGATTTTTCTCCTTCATTGATGTGCACTAATGAGGCTGCAGTGATGGGCACGGATAGGCTGCACAGATGGACACTGATAGGTGGCACTGATGAGGAGGCACTGGTAGGTGGCACTGATGGGCATTGACAGGCATCACTGATGGGCACTGAAAGGCAGCACTGATATATGGCACTGATATATGGCACTGTTAGGCGGCACTCACTGGCACGGATAGGTGGCACTGACGGGCACTGATAGTTGGCACTGATGGGTGACACTGAAAGGCAGCTCAGATGGGCACTGATATGTGGCATTGATGTGCACTGGTAGTCACTGATCTGTGACACTGATGGGCACTGACAGCTGGCACTGATGAGCACTGACAGGTGGCACTGCTGGGGCTACACTGATCATTAGGGCACACTGATCATCAGTGCCCTGATGATCAGTGTACATGTTCCCTCCGAGGAATGCCGATTACCGGCTCTCCTCTCCTCTGTCAGTCTGACAGCTCGGGAGGAGAGAAATGCCGATAACTGGCATTTCCCTGTTTACATGTGATCAGCTGTGATTGGACATAGCTGATCACATGACCGAGCCGACATCTTCGGCTCTTTCCGTGGATTGGTGATCCGCTGTGTCCAAGGGACACAGCACACCGCCGATCGCCTCGCTCCGGGAGCCACGCATGCGCGGTTAGAATGCGAGGACGTCATCCCAGAATGAGAGAACCACCTTGTGTCCGTCATATTACTATATGGCGGGAGGCAGTTAGAAATACAAATCTACATTTTTGGAATGCATTTACAAATATATGTTAAAATTACTTTTTTATATGTTAACAAAAATCTGAAGAATATATTTTAAAAATTTGGGAAGAATATTTTTAACATATATTTCAAATATATTTTTCTTCCATATGGGGTGGGGAGCACTGGTGGTGGGAGTTGGTTGGATAGGACAATGTCTACATGCAACCACTTGCAGTCTGCATTGGAAGCCAATGTGACTGGGTGACAACGCAGGAACACAACTAGGAAACAGGGACAGAGCGTTGTGTCCCCCCTCAACCAGGAAGTGCCCTGAACAAAGACCTTTATGGTGGGATTACCCGGGGATTGTTTTAATGAAAGCTGCAAGATTTAAAATATTAAAAACTAACTTTTTAAATTGTATTACCACGTACGTGTATGATGTAAGATTTCATTGATTCAGTTCCCATCTATTTTAATTCGGATTTGGCATAACGTGGCTTATTTGACAAAAAAATGCGCCATTGGCGTCATCGAAAATCGCGGCATTTATGTTCTGCCACACTGAAAAGGTTTGATACAGGTTTTAATTTAGACTAATATTCATATTTTTATTTCTGTTGTCATTTTTTTTAGTCGCAGTCATGTTTTGGGAAGCTCCGCCCAAAATATGACTGCGGCTAAGAAAAAAAAAAAAAATTACAACGGAAATAAAAATTTGAATATTAGTCAAAATTAAAATCTGTATCAAACCTTTTGATAAGAATAGAGTAGAATAAAACAGAATATAAAAGGATAGAATAGAACAGAAAAAAAAATAGAACAGAAAAAATAGAATATAGCCGTCGTTTTTCGTAATCTGAATTTAAAAAAAAAAAAAAAGATAATTATTCTATTACAGGATATATACATTCAGGGTTCTAAGTTAAGTAAGACAAGAAGATAAAAAAAATATTAACAAGCCTCAATAAATTGGATAGTGAAGTGGCTCACGCACTTCCGCATTCCTAGTTACATTCCTGACATTTTTCACGTCTTGCATAAACAGAGGACTGTCTGTGGCCATTTCTGTTCGTTCCTTTGATATTACAACTTAAAGCTGAAGTATTATCTTTATAAATTTTTGCTTTCCCTGGTTCCTCCCTCATCCCCCCTTCGACATACTTTTTTTTTTTTTTTTTTTAGTGCTAATGATGTCATTACTGGGTCACTGTGCTTCTCTATGCAATGCAGGCAGATCATGGCTGGTGGGTGGGGCCAGCAGGGTGCTATACATAGCTTCAAGAAAACATCACAGCCCCCCCCTTCCCCAAGTACTCCTCTCAAGAGTTATGCAAAAAATCCAAATGCTTTAATTAATGGATGTCACTCTGGAGGAGTGGGCACTCCTAGCATTTCCATACAAACCACCCTAGGTAATGCCCGAATGTAATGCTGATCTGGCTGTATGTCACATTTTAGGTGAGCAGTTGAGGGGCAGTAAAACCGCAGCTCAGCCTCCTACAGCAATGCAGCCAGGCTTTATACAGTCATATATTGTTAGCTGACACTGTAAAATGCAGAAGTAAGGGTTAAAATACCACAGATCTCACATTTCGAAAAGAATAGAGTAGAATAAAACAGAATAGAACATAAAAAATAGAAGAGAATAGAATAGAAAAAAAATAGAATATAGCCATATTTCGAAATCTGAATTTTTAAAAATGATTATTATAATACAGGATTTATATAGTGCCAGCAGTTGTCACAGTACTTGTACAATTACAATACAGTTCAATTCCGAAGGAATAGGAGGGTCCACTCAAAAAAAAAAAAAAAAAAAAAATTACAACCTAAAAAAAAATAGAATAGAGTAAAACAGAATAAATAGAAAATAAAAAATAGAATAAAACAGAATAGAATAAAAAAAAAAAAATAAAACAGAAATGAAAAGAATAGAGTAAAACAGAATAGAAAATAAAAAATAGAATAGTGTAGAACAGAATAGAAAATAAAAAATAGAATAAAATTAGAAATGAAGAGAATACAGTAAAATAGAATAGAAAATAAAAAATAGAAGAAAATAGAGAAGAAAATAGAGTAAAATAGAAATGAAGAGAATAGAGAAAAACAGAATAAAGAGAATAGAGAAAAACAGAATAGAAAATGCATAAAATAGAATAGAGTAAAACAGAATATAATAGAAAATAAAAAATAGAATAAAATAGAAATAACTAGAATAGAGTAAAACAGAATAGAAAAAAAAAAAAATAGAGTAGAATATAATAGAAAAAAAAAAAAATAGAATAAAATTGGAAATGAAGAGAATGAAAAATAAAACAGAATAGAATAAAAAAAATAAAACAAATGAAGAGAATAGAGTAAAATAGAATAGAAAATAAAAAAATAGAATAAAACTGAAATGAAGAGAATAGAGTAAAATAATGGAAAAAAAAATAGAATAAAACAGAAATGAAGAAATAGAGTAAAAACAGAATAGAAAATAAAAAATAGAATAAAACGAAGAGAATAGAGTAAAAAGAGAATAGAAAATAAAAAATAGAATAAAACGAAGAGAATAGAGTAAAATAGAATAGAAAATAAAAAATAGAATAAAACAGAAATGAAGAGACTAGAACAAAACAAATAAAGAATAGAAAAAAAATAATAAAACAGAAAAAAAGAGAATAGATTAACACAGAATAGAAAATAAAAAATAGAATAAAACTGAAATGAAGAGAATAGAGTAAAATAATAGAAAATAAAAAATAGAATAAAACAGAAATGAAGAGACTAAAAAAAAAACAGAATAGAAAAAAGAAATAAAACAGAAATGAAGAGAATAGAGTAAAACAGAATAGAAAATAAAAAAAATAGAATAAAATAGAAAAGAAGGGAATAGAGTAAAATAGAATAGAAAATAAAAGATTAGAATAGATTAGAAAAAAATAGACTATAACAGTCTTTCAAATAGAATAGAACCAGCACAATGAATTTGGCTCGATTGATATTTTTGATTCCAATTTGATTTGATTCTCATTCGATTTGAATACTTCGAATCCATTGGAGGAATTTTAATCCGGTTGAAAACAAATAAACGAAAGTCAGTGAATTTTGTTACAAATACGACTCAATCCGAAACGATACAAATGTTTCTGTTCTGCACATGTCTAGTTTGACCTCTGTTGCGCACTTGTGGCTCCTGTGAATGAAAGAAGCGGCTCCGCCCTCCAGTGGGCTGACCGAGCCCCTTCAAAACACGGCTTTCCACGTCTAGCCGCGTCATGCGTTTTTTTTTCTGCCGCTCCTGGACGCACTTGCCCTGGGTTTTTTTTTTTCTCTCGCTGTGGTGAAACTACAAGTCCCATCATGCCTCTGCCTTTGGGAGTCATGCTTGTAACTGTCAGTCTTGCAATGTCTCATGGGACTTGTAGTTTGGCAACAGCTGGAGGTTCACCAGTTTGACACCTGTTCAAGTCACATTTAAAAATGCAAATTTTTGAGCATTTTGTAGCGTATTTGCATTCGCATTTAACCACATTTTTCTGCGTTTGCGCTTTTTAGCCTTTTTTTTACACGCAAAGAAAAGTTAACATTTTTGCTAAAAAAAAAAAAATAGTTTTGCCGGGATTAGAGCGTTTTTTACAGCTAAAACAAAGTCCTCTAGAAACCCGCTAGTTCTGGGATTTTTTTCCAGACAAAAAAAAAAATGCTGATTCCAGTCTATGTGTAAACGGACACATAGGGGAACATGCTGGGGGTTACTGGCTGGAGAAAAAAACATCAAAAGCCAAAAACAGCCGCTGTAAAAACGTCCCGTGTGCGTGAGGACTTAGAAGTGTGATTCTTTAACTGTTTTAACTCTGGAGGGTCGGACCGCAGCTCTCACCCAAAGCAATGGCTCAGCTCTCCAGTGGTCTGACACCCTCCTCCCCAAAAACAGTGTTCCAATCAAAATCATGCTCCCTGTCTCAGCTGTTGATTGGAGCGGTGTTCAGGAAGGGGTGAAAGGATCGGTCACTGCTTTGTGTGTGAGAACAGCGGTCCAACTCTCCTACGGGCTGTGGGCACAGGCTTCGTTCACCTTTGCTGCATTTATTAGTGATGCAGCCAACCTTCATATACAGTAATAAATAATAAAGTAAATAAAAATAAAAATAATAATAATAATAAATAAAATGGTAATAAATAATAATACTAATAATAATAAAATGGTAATAAATAATATTAAAATGGTAAATAATAGTAATAATAATAATAAAAAAAATAGTAATAAATAATAATAGTAATAAAATGGTAATAAATAATAATAGTAATAATAAAATAGTAATAAATTAATAATAATAAAATAGTAATAAATAATAATAATAATAATAAAAATAGTAATAAAATAATAAAATGGTAATAATAATAATACTAAAAAAATATGGTAATAAATAAATTTAAAATAATAATAGTAATAATAATAATAAAAAAAATCGTAAAAAATAATAATAGTAATAAAATGGTAATAAATAATAATAGTAATAAAAATAGTAATAAAATAGTAATAAAATAATAATAATAAAAAAATAGTAATAATAATAAAAAAAATAGTAATAAAAAAAAATAATATAATATAATGTATAAAAAAAAAAAAATAAATATATAATAAAATAAATAGAAATAATATATATATATATATATATATATAAATAATATATATATATATATAAATATATAAATAATATTAAAAATTATATTATATAATATAATAAAATGTTATAACATTATTATATAATAATAACAATTATTAATTACAAGAATTGGGTTGCTGCACATAAAAGAACTTTTATTGTTTAAAAATCACCATAAAAAAGAGTGATCCAAAAAAAATGGAGAAAGCCATACAATATAGTGTTCAACAAACAGTTTTGGGCTATTATGTTAACGCCCTTCTGATCTGATGTGTTCTGAT